CCCCCCTCCCTCCCTCCATCCGTCAACGATTTAAATAATTATAATATATAGAATATGCGTGGGATAAAGGTAGTGATATGCACCTTCATTTTTCAAATGAATAGGCACTGGTCGGCAGACTCGTCTTCAGCAGTTAATGGACTGGTGTGGAGGAGAAGCGTTCGATGGATGCCTGATATTTGACGAGTGTCACAAAGCAAAGCATTTCATCCCAGTAAGTCAATAAAAACTGTATCTTCAGTATTTCAATTTCTCTTTTTTATTTATTTTTTTTATTTTCCTTTTTTATTCTTCTTTTTCTTTCTTCTAATTTATTTCTTTCTTTAGTGCTTTCCATTTTTCTTTTCCTCCTTTTTCCTTCCTTCCCTCCTTCCCTCCATCCCTCACTTCTATAACTCACTTCTTCTCATTCCTTCCTTTCTTTCATTGATTTTCTCTCATTTTCTCTCCCTTTGTTTTTTTCTTTTTTATGATATTAACCCTTTCACTACTAGAGGCTAAAAGGGTCCAACACAGGCTCCTCCTGGAACATAATTAGGGTGTTTTTTTTTTCTCAATATCAAAATGAAAAATATATGCTCAGTATATATTGAGGCCTTATAACACACATCAAAGCAGTTGATAGAATCTGATTTGTTAATGATTCAAAAAAAACAATAGCCCACGTGTTTCAACACATAGGAATGGGAAATTGGGAAGAATGGGTGGCGTGCGCTGCTAATGCGTCTCCTCTCACCAATGCGACCCGGGTTCGAGCTCTGCTGGTCTCGGTATCGTATGTGAGTAGAGCTGTTTGTTGGTTCTCTCCTGTGCTTCAATAGTTTTTCCTCCTGGTTCTCCAGTTTTCCTCCCTCCATAAAAATCAACTTCTAAATTCTAATTCAATCTACCAGCTGCCTTATCAATTGCATCACAAGGCCTGTTAGGCATTAAGCCGTCCACCTAGGAGTGGTAAACACATTAGAAATGTCCTAGGGGATGGATAATTGCAAAGCAGAAATGTTTTTCTGCTGGCTGCTTTTGGCCTCTCTAGGAAAAATGTCACATTTATGGTTGGCCTTTTTTGGCCGCTCTAGTAGTGGAAAAATATGAATTAATGTTATATTTGATCAGATTCAATTATAAAATTGCTTTGCTTGACACAGTTCTCTCTGGATCTTTCAGGGGAAGGAAGAAAACAGCACCAAAGTAGCTCTTGCTGTAACAACTATTCAACGGTTTGTAAAAATAACTTATACCGAATCAAAATATGGTGGTACCATAAATTTTTTTTTTCTCGATTGTGATTTTTCTCAGATCAACTAAATGGATCTATAGAAAGCGTGCAGCCATGTGACTCAAAATCCCTTGAGATATGAAAAACAATGAAACAGCCGCCATCTTGGTTGATCTAACAGGAGAACTAATGAGGAATGCTTTATTATTGTCAACCAACATGGCGGCTATGACGTAACATACACCCCAAGAATAGGAGGATACCAATCAAACAGCCGTCATTTTTGTTGATTTAACGATAGAAGCTTCATGAGGAATGCTTTGTATAGTCAACCAACATGGCGGCTATGACGTAACATGCACCCCAAGAATAGGAGGATACCAATCAAACAGCCGCCATGTTGGTTGATCTAACAAGAGAAGCTAATAAGGAATGCTTTGTTATCGTCAACCAAGATGACGGCTATGACGTAACATACACCTGCTCAATAGGTTTGCATGTGACATCATAACTAACTGCCATTATATTATTTGTCTTTTAAGACTGTTACCTAAAGCAAGAGTGGTGTACTGTAGTGCCACTGGAGTTACTGATGTCAAAAATATGGTAAAAAAATGTTATTTACTTTGTCAATGAATATCTTCCTTAATTTTACACTTTCTACGCCTAACCATCCTCGGGAACCTAGGGGTAAAATTCTGTCACTTGTTTCTCACTACCAGAAACAAGCAACCAAATTTTTCTCCTGGATTTCCAACGATAACACTCGACCCACTTGAGCGTAATTTTTTCCCAGTTCAGAGGATTCTAAGTTGTACATTGTGCAGAATTTTGTGGCCAAAATGTGTGTACTATTCAACATATCTTTGGGAGATATTATCTTTCCACCACTGTGATCTTCATAACCTTGTTTTTATCTCTTAAGGCTTTCATGGAGAGGCTTGGACTGTGGGGAGTAGGGACAGCCTTTCGATCATTCCAGTCCTTCCTGGATTCCATTACCAAACGAGGTCTAGGTGAGCTAAGCTTTTCGTTATTTCCCCTGATATTAGTACTGAGTAGTAAGTTTTTGTCAGGCAGACTATAGACCTCAAATAGTCACCTCAAATAGTCATAACAAATTCTAGTGAAAACTAGCTGATGAACACTTCACACGAGACAGAAAATGACGTCGTGTATCTGTATTATTTTTCTCCTCACAGGTGCAGCAGAGATGCTGGCTATGGAAATGAAGGCATCTGGAATGTATGTCTCAAGGGGCCTGAGCTTCAGACAAGCAGAGGTGGGTTCTTAATATGAGTATATTGTTGTTGTTTTTTGTTTAAGTATATCGAGGCTTAGCACCATCAAGTGCCCCCGCCATAATATAGCTTGGGCTGCCTGTGGTCAGATGGCTGAACAATAACATCCCTTTGCTCTTGGGAAATGAATTCTTTCTCATGTAAAACGATTCTATTGTTCCTGCCATGTACCATGTGGCTGCTGTCACGTGATGGCAGCCATGACAGGAGGCACAACAATAGTCTCTTTCCCTGGGAAACTGAGTTCTTTCTCATTCAGATTAGACCAGATTCAATTGTTCATGTCACCTGTCATGGCTGCCATCAGGTGACGGTGCAAAGCCTGTATTCTTGATTTGCATGTGACGCCAACAGAGTAATTTGGCCTTGATTTTTCTTTTCATTTAAAAAAAAAAACATATCGACCATGTCTTAGTCTTGGGTACTACTTCGCAGTACATCGGAATGCAGCTCATCTTGGAGGACATAACAAAAGGTTTCCAATTCTCACGAGATTTAAATTCCTTTGTTTTGTCCTCCAAATTGAGCTGCTTTGACGTCACATGCAAGGGGTCTATAGCCGCCATGTTTGTTGACTTGAACAACAGTTTGTTAAGTATGATATAGCTATACTCATAAATGCGTGTCATCTTATATATATTTGTTATCAGTTTATGAATGCTGAAGCAGTATTAACAGATGACCAAAGAAAAGTTTATGATACCTCAGTACATGTCTGGTAAGTAGCGTAACCTTTGTGTTATATATAACTATATAACTAGTTCAAACTGGTTAGAGCTGTGCTCCGTGGTCATACATGGACTGTATAGCGGCTGCCAGAGGCGCCTTCACATGCTTTCAGTTCAACCCCGTTTGAGCTGCGCCACTGCTATACTTTGCAGTGGTGACAAGCGATGACAAGTTATAGATTGTACGCCGTCCAGTCTTGACAAAACAGAAAACAACCTTAAACAAACAGACGGATGGACAGATACAGATACAGATACAGATACAGATACAGATACAGATACAGATACAAATACAGATACAGATACAGATGGACCTTCCTCTGCAATAGACCACAATATTCTACACAATGAATCAGTGAATGATAATCCAAATGAATCATACTAGAGTGCTATAACGACGAACGTGTCTGCAGCTCAATAAGTGAGTAAGCTACAACTTCGGGTCCAGTAGTGCCGTGGCCATAACTCGCAGTTTTTTTCAACTAACCAGTTTATAATGCCAGCTATCAATAGAGGCCTGTTCTTTCAGAAATACTGGTAATCATGATTTGTTTTTGTCCAGGAATGAAATAAAGACATCCTTGGAGTATGCAGTCGCAAGGACCAAGTCAGCTACCCCTAGATTGTGGTCACAGTTCTGGTCCTGTCATCAGAGGTTCTTTAAACAGCTTTGGTAGGTGATGACTACACAATGATTATGATGGTGATGACTACACGATGATGATGATGGTGATGACAAAACGATGATGATGATGGTGATGACTACACGATGATGGTGATGGTGATGACTACACGATGATGGTGATGGTGATGACTACACGATGATGATTATACACTGTACATGTTGATGGTAATGGTGATGACTACACGCTGATGGTGATGGTGGTGGTGGTGGTAATGATGATGATAACGATAGTGGTGATGATGATGATGATGATAATGGTGGTGATGATGGTGATGGTGATGATGATGACAAAGACGATGGTGGTGATGATGATGATGGTGGTGATGGTGGTGATGATGGTAGTGATGATGGTGGTGATGGTGATGATGATGGTGATGATGGTGGTGATGGTGATGATGGTGATAATAAGGATGATGGTGATAATGGAAGTCATGATGACGATGGTAATGATGGAGGTCATTATGGTGTTGATGGTGGTAGTGAAGTTGATGCTGATGGTGCATGGTGTTAATATGGAGTCACGTGATCCTGGGAGTTCTATTTCATTTTAACAGAAGTTATTCCTACTGTTTAGTATGAGCATGAAAGTACCAACCATCGTGCAAGAAGCCAAGACAGCCCTTCAGAATAACATGAGTGTTGTGATTGGTCTACAAACAACTGGAGAGGTTAGTACCGTACAAATAACTAATAACTGACAAAGTGGGTTTCCTTTGGTATAAAAACCGTGAGAAGACTGAAAATTTTAATGAATTTAAATAATGGGGGTTCAAAGGGTGCACAAGAATCGTCGCCTTCTTTTAGTATACGTTTGTTGGCCTCGCTTTCTAAATGTGGTTAAATGAAATTTAGTCAAAGTTAGACTCGATCTGTGTAGCAGCGAATAGTCTACGATAACCGTTGTTTGTTGACTGCCCGCTAGCCGCCTATATACGTTAAACACACACTATTACAATCACACGCTATTCTGGTGATTACGCTAGCATTATCTTTGGTCATCAGCAGCTCCGAGCTATTTGATCGGTAATTACCGCGATATCGATCAACGCTATTTATTGCTAATGGGTCAACTCGATCGCACGCTATCCATGTGATCACGCTAGCTTGTTTGACCCTAGATTCGCCAAGAATCGTTTGCAATACGATATTCGCTATCGCTAGCCTCTGGCAACCAGACACTTCATAATAATAATAAATACTTTATTTAACGAGGGTGGCACGTAATAGTATAAAAATACCAACAAACCTGTGGCCCTCAAAAACTATGCATTAATTATATGTATGAAAAAGGAGTGTACATTGATATTTGTATGTGCTGACCAACAGGCAAGTTTAGAAAGTGAGCTGAATCGTAACGGAGGAACCATCAACAGATTCATCTCCATCACAGAGGAGATCATGACCAGGTTTATCTTACAGTTCTTTCCTACTAAGATAGAGACCAAGGTACGTTCACACTAAAAGCCGACGACATGCACGCTTGTTGGAGCGAATTTTGATCGTAGCCAATCGCCAGCGAATTTGATCGCCATTATCTGACATGCCAGATTATTTAGATCGCTGGTCGCTCCGATCAAGATCGCTCTGGAAACTCGCCGTCGCAGTAGCATACACACATGACGAGTTTTCAAGCGACGATCAAAATTCGCTCCAACAAGCGTATAAAATCGCCTAGTATATCGTCGGCTATAGAATGTCTAAGTAATGATGTTGGCATCAATCCCTTACCTTTCAGGATTTTTTTAACACAACTTCTTACAAAATATTTGATTTTCCATTTACGCCATTTTCATATTTACGCGTCCACCACAGCGGGTGTTCAGGGTGTTTATTCTAACGCAACTGCATTGTTTAAGGGAGTTTAGTCACGTGACTTATTGTATTGTTGATTGACAGGATGGTACAGTTGTGGAGGACAAGTGGTCTGTCACTGCTAAGTCACTTCTTCTTGGTTTTATCAAGAAGATCGGTCTCCCCATAAGGTAAATTGGTGTCGGTAATGATGTGACGCCATGGCCGCCATGTTGGTTGGCTTGAACATCAGAAGACCAATAGAGCGTTTTCACTCACGTGACAAGACAGCCACATTGGTGTACCAAACAATAGAAACTTTCTGGACATAGTTTGCAAAAAAAAGAGAGTGAAATTCCCCGAGGATAGAAAGTGTTTTGCTTTGTTACACCAACATGGCCGATGTGACGTCAGGTGAAAACGCTCTATAACGGTTTTACACCATCACGTGACGGCAGCAATGTTAGATGCCAGGAACAATACGTTTTACATGAGAAATAATTCAATTCCTAAGAGCAAAGGTATTTTATTGTTCTGCCATCTAACCACAGGCAGCCCAAGCCGTATTATGGGCATGGGCACGGAATGGTGCAAAACCTCTATTAGGCGGCCTCACTTGTGCTGTTGCGAGGTATATGTAACTGAGCTTATAAATCTATCGTACTTCAGTCCCTTAGATGACCTCATCGATCAGTTAGGAGGCCCAGGTCACGTGGCAGAGATGACCGGGAGGCGTGGTCGCGTGGTTAGGACTGCCAGTGATAGAGAACCCCATTACGAGGCTCGGGAGTCAGACAGTACTCAAGTAGAAAGTCTCAATATACAAGAGGTGAGTTTTGTCTTGAAAACGAGGCTAGGAGTGAACCTTCTAACGAGACTTGTGAGTCAGATAGTAGTAGTACAGTGTAAATAGAGCGGTTTAATAATTTAGTTGATAGCTACTCTTCGAAGATATGCATTAGTTACCCGCCAACCGATTGGCTCAGTTGGTTGAGCATCATGACTATAAAAATCATAATCATCATCATCATCATCATTAAGCCAGGATATACTTTTTCGTATGAATATGGAAACATCTCAAACAAAGAATCTTATTCTCAAGAGAATGACACGTGGTCTGAACTGGAAAAACATACCTAAGGTAAAGAGGTGTCTTGATGCTGATCCTGAGCAGCCAAGAGTTTAATCTTTTTTCTAAAATAAATATGGTTTTGAAGTTATTTTCTTATTTCTCTAGAGGAATCATTTCATGGATGGATCGAAGCTCGTTGCCATCATCTCAGACGCCGCTAGTACAGGAATCTCCCTGCATTCAGATCTACGAGTAGCCAATCAGAAACGTCGAGTCCACTTCACCATGGAGCTACCGTGGAGCGCTGACAAGGCGGTCCAACAGCTGGGAAGATCACATCGGTCCAATCAGAGAAGGTGATTCAGGACACGTGATGGCATCAGCCAATGAGCTTACAGAAATGATAAGTTTTCTTTCGTTTGTATTTTCAGTGGACCTATCTATAAACTCGTGACAACTAACCTGGGAGGAGAGAGACGATTCGCTGCTGCTGTTGCTAGGCGACTACAATCTTTAGGTACGATAAGAAATAATAATTCGGCACCTTACATACATCGGTTCACTGGTCAAACAAAGTATTCAGTCGAGGTTCTAATTTGAATAATTCTTTGAATCTACCTTGCAGCCTCAATAGACCCGTTTCGGATTCGAAATTACCGCTGTGTTTCTTGATTACAGACTCATTTGCACAGGGTTAGCCTCGAGTTTGTGCAGAATATTCACGTGTTCCAGTCAAGGTCCGTCGAGTTTCAAAGTGTTTTTATTGTTGAAGTTGTGCATTCTTTACTTTACCGTTGGTATTTGTGAATATTTAAACACTGATACGAGGCTAACCCTGTGTAAATGAGTCTGTAATCAAGGAACACAGCGGTAATTTGGAATTCGAAACTGGTCTATTTGTGCTTTTTGTGTAACCAGAGAACCGATGTATGGAAAGTGGTGAATATCAAATAAGGAATTGTTTCGTCTTCCAACATGGCTCTCTTCATAAAATCAAATCAAATTTTCAAAGAAGGCTTAAAAACCAGAAACTTGAAACTAAGGAAGTTGAATGCTCTGGGGATATCCAGATATGCAAATTAGGAGTTTTTGTTACCATATTAGGAATGATGAGTTTGGTTTCAAGATGGCCGCTTCTCAAACATATCAAACTTCTCACTGTATTTCCTGATCGTGATGAGATGAGATGATGAGATGATTTACTGAATCTTTCAATCAAACACTTGGAATATCTGTCTTTATCATATAATTATCCATAAAATATCTATATTTCTCTTTTTCGAAAAACTGATATTTTCACAAGTGAAAATAACATGTTATTTTCACATGTGATAATATCGTTACCATGTGTATTTAAGCTATTAGTTAGTTAGTTATAATAAGAAAAAGCTTATTAAGTTGATTTTATGGATAATTATATAATAAACAGAATATTACATGGGCGCTTGGAGATAGGAAATTTATCTTCTCGTGTTCAAAATCTCACTCGTTTGCTGCGCTCACTCGTGAGAGATCTTTTCAACACTCGAAGATAAATTTCGTATGTCCGCGCGCCCATGTAATATCCTCTATATAATTCTTAGTTTTGGGAATTTTTTAAGAGGACGTGATTAACTAGAAAGAAATTTGTCAAGAAAGAAGTTAATATTTCTTGAGTATCGTACAAAAGAAATGTATGGCTGTTACACGTTTCAACCCCCTTATGAGTTTCTGTAAGAACGTATTTATTTCCAGGGGCGTTAACCAAGGGTGACCGTCGTGCGGCCACAGGTGCAGATCTTAATGAATTCAACTTTGATACAAATTATGGTCGATCTGCTCTGAGAAGCATGTATCAATGTATTAGCTCTGTAAGTATTCTTTCATTTGCATCTCTTGCATCTCAAGTGAAGAAATAGAAAACGCGCGCGCGTGCTGTGTGCTGTCATAAAGCACGCGGGGGTTGGCAGAACACGAGAGAAGTGTTAGGAGAAGCACGACGAATAGCGGAGTGCTTCTAGACACTTCTCGAGTGTTCTGCCAATCCCCAAGTGCTTTATGACTGCACACAGCACAGCAAGCAAGTTTTTTATTTCTTTTATAAAATACAAATTACAGGAATGACGAAACTGAAAGTGCGCGCAAGTGCTGTGTGCCCTCATGAAGCACGCGCTCCCAACCAATGAGAACGCGATATTTAGAACAGTTATTTCATAATTTACATTATCTTCACTAGAGTAATTTACAACCTGGGGTGAGCCTTCAACAAGTCATTGCTGGTGCTCAGATCTCCACGGCCTACGAACTAGACAGCTTCCATGAGACCCTAAAGGTAAATTGGTAGGATTTCACCCTCGTATTTACATCAAATGATTTACTGTGTTATTTACACCAGACAACTCAGTGTTCTGAATAAGATTGTCTCAATTTTGCAGTGACATTATTTCTACGTCACTATTTCCGATCAACTGCCTAGACCAATCAGAAAGCGAGAAAATTCACAATTGTTATAAAATAAAGGCATGTTTTGATTTACTTCAGGAATGTATTCAGATGATGGGACTAGCTGATCCAGGCAGCAGTACAGTCAAAGAGAAAGACAGCGGTGATGTTGCTAGATTCTTGAACAGGATTCTTGGATTGAGCGTAGAGCGACAAAATATGGTATGACGAAAACTCATATATTTTACAACCACCACTTTCACAAATACCAACGGTAAAGTAAAGAATGCACAACTTCAACAATACGAACACTTTGAAACTTGACGGGCCTTGACTGGAAAACCTGAATATTCTACACAAATTCGAGGCCACCTCTGAGCAACAGAGAACTCGAAACCGATTTATTGTTGCTTATGATTTTCTTTTACTTTCTTTAGTTTTTCTCTTATTTTGTGGAGTGTATGAACGCGGTTATCGAGGGAGCAAAACGAGAAGGCAGGTAAGTAATCGATATTCCCTCTAACTGTTCTTGAACTAATCAATAAGTATTCGTAAAACGATTTCCATCCGAGCATGCTAGTCATTTTTCATCTTTCCAACCATAATACAAATGGGAAAGAAAGAGAAAAAAATGATGTTACGTCAGTTGGAGGGAGAGGGGAAGGGAGAGAAGAAGGGAGCTGGGACCAAAAGCTCGCTAAAAAGCCACGTCTATTTCAACGAGAATAAAGGAGGTGCCACACGAGACGATTCGCAACAACGATTTTTCACGCAAAAATGTTGTGCGAAAAAAGCTTCTTGTGTAACATGGTGCGCGGTAACGATTTTTACTGATATTATGATGCGCAAAACATGTTGCAGGTTTTTGAACGACCTTCCAAACTTACAACATTGTTGTCATTGATTTGTGTTGCCGCGCGCACCATGTAACACGAGGCCAACGTTTAACGTAATGCGCTGAAAATCGTCTCATGTAGCATCACCTTGAAATGGGAAAGGAAAGAATGGAAAGGGCTGTCCTGTCAATGGGTAGGAGGGAGAGAGGGAGCGAGGGTGGGAAGACTAGAAGATTACTAAAACAGTATAATATAATGGACCTTCATTACACCGACGGCAGCAGTATTTATTCGATATTCCTACCAGAATAAATATGGGAAGTAGTGAGGGCTATCAAGTCAGTGGGAGGGATGGGAGGGTAGAGTATTATTTGACATGATTCTCTTTATCATTCAGGTTTAATGAGGGCGTGACAGACATAACTGGGTCGTCCATCAAGATGATTGACAAGCCACGCCCAGTCTTCACTGAAGTACAGAAATGTATTATGCCTACACAGTACGTATCAGTAGATACCTTAATGTCTGTTTGTCTGTCTGTCCGTCTGTCTGTCTGTGCGATCAATTGATCGAAATATGAATAGCTATTGTTCAGGACTGACCAATCTCGTGTTCACGTGTAAGCACATGTAAGAGAGGCTAGACACTTCAGAACAATAGTTATTTAAATTGGTCTCCATATTTCGATTTGGTTTATAGGCTCTGATAAACGCCAACTTAATATGGGATCTTTATTTTGTATTGAATGAATAACGATAAAAGAATGGAAGAAATGCCACGCATTCCATTGAGAAAAAGTGTGATTTATCTTGTATTTTTATGTTAGCCTCCATCCAAGATACTTTTGAGAAGGGTCCACTGTGACCCGAAAACGGAAATAACCAGCGTATACAGTCAATTCAAAAAATAATGTCGTCGACCAACTCAAGTCTACGCGACTGGACCGAAAGGAACTCTGGGTAGTAATCATTGAAGCCGAGTTGACTCCATAATTTTATCTGACTAGTTATGCCTGGTTTACAGCACGAACCTTCGCAGGCGAGCGGGAAGTGTTGAAGGAGACGTTTTTTTAATGCCTTCATATTTTCGGAATTGTGAACTGAATCATAACTACTTTGTTTTTCTTTCCCTAAACCCGAAGACATGCATTTGATGGATTGTTTCTCGACATTATTATCTTATTACTAGCGAGAACAATTAATTCATAACGAATATTTAACCGCTTCAGTGRTTTTTACCCATATTCCTTTCAGTCCAGTCGCGTAGGCTTGAGCCGGTCGACGACAACGTTTTTTGAATTGACTGTAAGCAATTCCCAGTTTGAGAAAAAACCTGGTTTAAGTAGCCATGGACTTTGTCCCCTATAAAAGTCCCTCTTTTTCCTCAATCTCGGAATGGCTAATGACACAATGAAATTAGCCGCACCACCCGCGTCTCCTATGACAGATAAAAATATAGACGTTAGACGACTTACTACTTTTCCTTTATCCAGTCACGTGATCCTGAACGTTGACCGAGGAGTAGACTGGGAATCAGCCTTATCGCGATTCAACCACAGCTCTAAGGCAGACCTGAATGGCTTCTACTGCTCCAAGAGAGAACAGAAACACCAACGATTCTACTTACTGGCATTACAGAAAGAATCTTCTACTCATTTATTTAATATTATAAGGTAAGAGTGAAAAAACCTGTCTCCACCTCTCTTAATGCTTATGATTTATTCTTAGAATTTTAAATTTATAAATTATGCTAATTTAGGAAATTATTCTGAAGGTCGAGAAAAAACTTGGTCAAGTTGGAAGTGCAGTGCATTGTGGGGTTGTTTTGGAAGCATATTTCCAAGATGGCGTCTATTTCGTCCCCAAAAGCAATTCATAAATACACTTCAATGCCAATTCGGCCCAATTTTATTCTCAACTTCGGAATGCCTTATAGAAAATTCGATTGTAATGTAGACTTCATTACAGGGCGGGGTGGAGTGGGGGAGGGGACTGACAAGTTATTGATTTTTTCTTTTGTTTGTTCCTTATGTTATACCCACCATCCCCTTGACCTGTAATAGTAACGCTAGCAGACTTTAATTTTCCTTGTAAACCTTTTTGTTTCAGACCAAATACAGGGCAGTCACCTTTCGAAGAGGAGAAAAAAGACTTGCTCCATAAATATCAAAAGATCTCTCCTGAAGAAGCTGGTAAGTTAAAAGAACCAAGGTCAATCTGATACCCACCCACCCAGAGCCCACGTTCCTCCTGGTCAGCTCCAGGAAACGAGTAACGTGCTGACCAAAAGAAATGCAGGGCTCGGGGGACGAGATTGAACCAAGCCAAGGTTACAAATGTGGGTTACCTGTGGTAGAAGAACGAAAATGTTAATTGAAAATTGAAATGAAAATTGTGGTTATCCTGTGGATCGACACAGGAACAAATATATAGCTTGGTACCAAGTCTTCCGCTTCCTAATTTAGCCAAGGAAGCCCATTCCGATTGGAATATCCCGAATAAGGCTAGGAAAATTAAAATCTTTGATTGTGATTTTGATATTGATCTTCTTACCCTGTAGAGTCGGGATGGAGAGCTCAATACGACAAGACCAAAGACTACTGTTTTCACGGACCGAACTGTAAATCTGGAGCTCTGTGTAGAGGTGAGACTGAGGTTGTCATAGTAAGTCAAATGCGCATGCTCAAACTCAAGGGATAAGTACATGAATCTCGTACCCAGAGCCAGCGTTCCTTCTGGCCTGCGGCGAAGAACAAGCCGCTTAAAGTATAATACATTTTGTTTTGGCGCGCAATTTTCCAGAAGTGAAATATAATCAATAACGATAATGCTTTCAAACATAGTTCTGTGTTTACTTCAGATCGAAATAAAAATTAGAATTCGGGAACATATCTTTTATTTTGGCATGTCTTTTAACGTAAGCGCTCTTATACCGGAAGTCCAAGAAATCCTGGTCTCAAAATGGATTATGCCAGAGCCCTCGTTCTTCGCCGCAGGCCAGTACAAACGTAGGCTTTTGGTACGAGACTGGGATAAGTAGAAACGCATTGAATCTCATTGGTTGCCTGTTTTGTAAAAGCAAGGTTCTTTTAGCGAAATGCGCATGCTCAGAATTTATCTGCAGAGGAAAGGTATAAGAGAACCATGTGGGATATTAGTCGTGTAAAATAAGTTTTGTAACTAAAGCTTTGTTTTTGTTTCAGTTGGGTGTCGTATTTCACAAGTCAGTCTTCTCTGTGGTGGAATTGTACCGATACTATCTACACTTGAATGGGTTGTTGCACGAAATGCTGATAAAATAGGACTAACGTAAGTCGAAAGTATCCATTGGGATCCCTGTGGTCTGACTCTACTCGATAGATTGGTAACTAGTTAAACGTATTTTTATGACGTCATTTGAATCTATTCTTAGCTCTTGTTTCCTAATTCTAGAGTAGTGTAATAAGAATTTTTCAGAGCTTTAATTATGACAGATACATGAAATTTGCTTGAAACAGTCGAGAAAATAGAACGCTACGAGTCGTCCGCGTCGAGCTTGACGATGGTCAGCGGTTAGTCGGATTGCGGTACCCAGAGCAACTTATTCCGGAAGTGACGTCACTGTTAAAGGAACAACACATTAACGACAGACTATTGGTAAGATTTCCTTCATAGATTTACCCAGTTTTTTTACGAAAAAATTTGCGATAAATCCTAGGCTGAGTTAAAAACTTCAATTTGGAGAAAATGTATAGAAGATCCTTTAAAAATGAAACTTTATTTCAGGAGAATAAAAGTGGGAGTTTGTCGATCAAGGACTCACTCAAGTCGACAGCACTGGCAACCGAAGAATCTGTAGCCGCCATCAATAATAAAACCCTTGCCAAAGCCATCAACCCTCCGATCACCATAAAGACCTTTTTTCGCCCTGTAGAAAGTTCTGATCAAACAGAAATCAAGGCTAAAGACGTGGAAAATCCGGAATGTAATCCAGAGAACACGGATGGTGGGGAACTTGTTGTTGTTGACAAAAGTACGAAAGATTGCATCAAAGAGACTAAATTTAATGGAGCTCTTACATCCTCTTATTTTGGTGCCCCCAAAGCAACGGGAAGCACCGCTTCGAAAGTAGGTGCTAAATCTAGTGGAGCTAAGACAAGTGTGTCAAAAAGGGGCCGGGGAGGGAAGACATCGTTAAAGAGACCAATGTCTTCTGACGTAACGGGATCAACATCAAAGCGACAAAAACAGTCGAGTATTTTCTCCGCTCTAGGGAGGGGTAGGGAGAATGACGTCACTGATACTGAGAAAAGTAGTATGACATGTCCTATTTGTAGGAAAGTCTTCGAAGAAGGAACGAAAAATGCGGACATAAATGCACATGTTGATTCCTGCCTTATTGAATAGCTAATGTGTTATATTAATTTTACCAAGCGAGAACAGCAAGGATTATGCGTAGATGCATTTGACGTGATTCCACCGCTTGATAACTATAGAGCGTTTTCACGTGACGTGACAGCGGCCATGTTGGTGTGCCAAAATAAGACATTTCTATCCTCCGGGAATTGAACTCTATTTTTATGCAAAAACTGTGCAGAAAGTTTCTATTGTTTGGCACACCAATATGGCTGCCTTGTCACGTGAGTGAAGTGGAGAAGAGGGGAAAGTCATGTTAAAGTTCACTTTGCGAGCACGAAAAACAATATTTTTTATAATAGATTGTATAATAAGATAATCATGATGCCTTTTGAAGTTGAAAACAATAATTTTGAATAATATCAATAATATTTATCATCCCAGATATATAATTATTGCAAATAATAATGGTATTTATTGGTGCAGGACACCACGGATTTTAAATAAATTTGTTTTATTTCTCATATTTGTAAAAGATTTTCAATATTTCTGGGCTGGACACGAGGTTGTCCCGCCTTTGTTTTGACTTGACGAACCTGTGTGGCTCCCTTTTTCCTTCCTTCCTTTCCTTTTTGTTTTTGTTTTGTTTTTTTTTTTTTTTGTTTTTTTTGTTTTGTTTTGTTTTGTTTTGTTATTTTTTTTTTTTGTTTTTGTTTTTGTTTTTGTTTTGTTTCTTTTTTTTGTTGTTGTTTTTTGTTTTTGTTTTTGTTTCCTCTATTCTTAGTTATTTCTCTGACTTCTTCCTTTCTTTCTTTCTTCCTTCCTTCCTTTCTTTCTTTCTTTCTTTCTTTCTTCCTTTGCTTCTTTCCTCTTCCACCTTCATATTTTTCTTCCCTAGAGGAAACACTACCGACATTTACCACACGTCGTCTCACTCCAAACAAACAAACCAAGATCATTTTAAAGTTAAACCCGTTCCGTTTTTTTTTCTGTTTGACTACTCATCTTTCTATTGGCACGCATTCACTTCACCTAATCTGTAGCTGTCAAAAGCAGGTGCACGAAGAAATAGAGAATATATATTACATGGCCGCGGATATACGGATTTTATCATCTTCTATTGCTGAGGTCAGCCAAGAAATTTCAATGAATACCAAGGTTTTCATTACCTTAACACTAAAATACAAATACGATTTCAACCCAAATTAGTTTTGATGACGAGCTTTAAGCACCGTTTACACGTTTTTTTGTTTTTTTATTGGTTTTTTTGTTTTGTTTTGTTTTTTGTTTTTTTTTTTTGCTGCGATTTTTTTGTCCATAATAAATAATTGTAAAGAATTTACTTGTAAAGTTTTTTTCAGGATACCAAGATTTTCCTAGACGAATGTCTCTTTTGAAGGATGAGACAAAAGATTTCATATTTCCGAAAATTGCCACAAAAATCGCCAGTGTAAAGGGGGCTGTAGAGCCCCTCCATATATATGTATTGGTAATGTGTGAATGGTTTTTAAAAAAAAGCATTCCTTGGTTTTTGAGAGAATACAAAATGAGTTTTATCTGGAGGTATTCTTAAATTGATAAAACAAAAATGATAACCATAGCTGGAAAGAGCATGAAAATATCACAATAACACTGTGAAGCTTAAAGGAAATGAGTTCAAAGCTTGCAAAGATATGCCTTTTGGAAAGTAATTTGTAACATATTCTTGTTAAGGTTTTGGAATTCCGCAGTTCACTCAACGATTAAGCAGACTTTAATTTGAAGAATCTTTTTTCTCCGTCATTTTGTGTATTTTCACCCTGACACTGGCATGAATTTCAAACGTGTTAAATGTCACTTTTTGTTTGTTTGATGTTTTTCTTTTTAATATAAATCTCATTTGCGTGGTTTCATCATGTTCCCAAAATGTCATCAAATTTCACGCCTTTTGCCCGCAAATACTCTCTATCTCTTATTCTTCGAAAATCGTAATTAAAGTAGCACAAATTACTTTTGAATTCTAACTTTGAAATAATAGTGCAATTACGGGAAAAATATTCTGTATTTATCTAAAAATCGTGGGAGAAAATTGTTCATGTTTTCAATATTTTCTGAATCTGTTTACAAAACCTGTTTTGAATTGAAATTATTCGTCGCCTAATTCATGGCAGCTTTTCTTGTCAATCTCTTTGATATGAAAACTAATTGTTGTTAGAATTTCTCATCAAGAAGTCGAGCCACAACTCATTTTGCAGGAGTTTTAATAAGAGTATTACTGATAGTATTCTTTGTAAGATACCTTTGTTAAAATCTGATACCGCAAATTTCTGAAAAAAAGCTTTCGTATCACACAGTGTCTTTGTAAGTCTCATATGAGACTTGGTGGTTAAAGCATGGCACTGGAATCGCCAGGGCACGGGTTCAAATCCCGTTCAAGACTCAGAATTTTTTCTGAGTCTTTCAATTTACAGCTGCATAAGTTGCTTCATATACTGAGAGGATCAGCTCATTTTTATATATTTACTCAATGTACCATTTGGAAGGGCTTATTTTCGAAGAAGGCCTATTTTATTTTTTAAAGCTTGTTCATTTTTTGCAGGGGAAAAATTGTGTTATAGGGAAAAAATATGTAAAAAAAAACCCGTATTTGAGTAGCGAGTATATTTGATTCTCTCCTGAGTTTCGCAGTTTTTTCTCCAGTTTTCCTCCCTTCTAAAAAACAATACAAAAGTTCCATTTCGAACTTTCTTCTAGCGCGTAAGTCATGAGGAAATTTGCCCTACCAATCCATGCGTTACTAATGTAAAATAAATTATTTTTTAAACATGTTTTTACAACTATTTTTCACAAAAACACGAAACAGGAATCACTCATAGATTAGTATTCATTATAAAGCAATAAAAAACGAATAAAATAACATAGAAAACGATTTTATATTGTGTTATATTTTTATGTTTTACCTGTAATAAGTTAATGCATTGTTTTCAAGAACAATTATATCTCAAATGAATGTTCCTCTTACAACTGAGATTTCTTTGTATATACCTTAACCTTGTATTTGTGTATAAAGGTAAATCTATTCGACAGTAGAAATTTCTTCATTTCCAACGACCCTTCTAAATGGATTTAAGGTAAAC